GTGGTGATGATGATGGTGGTGGTGATGATGATATTGGTGGTGATGATGATGATGGTAGTGGTGGTGATGATGATGATGAGGAGGAGGAGGAGGAGAAGGAGGAGGACGAGGAGGAGGAGATCGGGAAAGGCCCAAGGAGGCCGAACAACGGCGAAACACTGTAGGACCCGTCGCCCAAATTGTTTCTATGGTGATCATGCCTCCCTTCCACCTGCGTCACTGCAGGTGTTAGTCCCTCCCTTCCGCCTCGCAGAATCCTATCTTCTTCATCACGATGCTCCGTCAAGACCCCCTCCATTTGCTGGATGAAGAGCTTGTCCAGAGGCCAGCCCTGGGGTCCAGGATCCGTTTCCCCCTAGGACCGCTTTTTTGTCATGCCAGGGGGCGGGAGGAAAGAGAAAGAAGGGGAGGAGGTGGCGGAGGAGGAGGACACTGACGACGACACGTTCCCCCCTTTGTGCCTCGTCGCTGCTCCCTCCCCTTGTTGCGACAAATCGCCTGGGTTATTCGTTTTCTGCACGTCTCCAGCCTTCCGCCGCGCTTCCGCTCCTGTCCACGGGCCATCCCCTGACATGCCGGTGTTACCCGTGCAAGCCAGCGCTCGACGCTCTTCTGCCTACGCTTCCTCCTTCCCCTCCCTCCTCAGCACTCCCTCCCTCCTTCCCCCCCTCCTCCGCTAGCTGTTTTGGGCTGTCTGTGTTGCGTGCCGAGAGGGAGCGCGAGCATGTTTCCGAGAATCTCGTCGCGATTTCGGCTTGGATCCTAACTCCTGGCAAGGTCGCAAAGATTACGAACAGTTGGTTAACCATGGAGAAAGGTCTGAAGTGCCGTGCGAGGAAGAAACCGTATAGTAAAGTAGCCGTATTCATACTACTAATACGAGTAATGAGTAAGAAGAAGAAACCGAACAATAGTAACGTTACTACTAATAATCAGAGTTACAAGAATATGCATATTAAAAGAAGACTAAGAAGAAGCAGCGAGTCTTCGAGGGGATCCTTGGCCTGTTCTCGGCCAGCTTGTCCAGCCGCCATTGGCTGAGCCGCCTCGGCCTCGGTGAATGTCGGCGACACACGTTCCGACGACCCAACGCACGGAGCCCCGGCCTACGAGAGAGAAAAATGGTGTTGATACCAGAGTGGCGTGTTCAGCGTGTTCGAAGTGGGCGTGGGTGTCGAAGCTGCCCATGTACAATAATATTTGTTTGTGTGGCGCGCCCTTTGGCAACCATGTGGTGGTGTTGAAGGACGAGGCCTCTGCCCCGACGAAGGGCAAAGGCAAGGGCAAAGGTAAGAGCTTGACGGGCAACATGCAGGTGCAACCGGGAGCTTTGGTCAAGGCAAAACAAGGCAGTCTCGAGGCCTATGAAGCAAAGGTCTTGGCCGAAACCGCCCAGAAGACTTGACATGTCGTCCAAATCGGTGTTGCAGCTAACTCAGCAGATCACGGCGGCGGCGGCGTCCAAGGTGCAGCGAGCCCAGCAGGCCTTTGAAATTATTGCGGAGGTGGAGAAGGCTGCCGAGGCGATGACTGAGGCAACTCGCGCGTTGGCAGCCGCAGGGAAGGAGCGCGCATGCCTTTTCGAGGCGATGGTTCCTTATGAGGGCAGTCGGAAGTCGGGGGCCACTCTCGATTTTGGTCCCTGCTGTCGGTTTCGGAGGCAGGTGCGTTCAACCCTGACCTGTTCACGATTTCGTTGGGGACGAGTTTTTCGAATGATGATAGGGTTATGTTGGCGTCGGATCTGGAAAAGTTGGGCCGTCGTACGAAGAAAGTGCTCGAGGATTTCGCAGACACCGTGCGAGCTATTCTTGGCCCGTTTAAGTCAAACATCAGTGAGCACAGAGCCAAGCTGGATGAGATCCGTCTGGCTGCGGACAAGCGGAAGGCAGATTTGCAGGCGGCTGGCGCGGCCGCTGCAGCCGACGCCGGAGCTTCAGCGCCTGCTGTCGTTCCTGGCGCCGAAGGGGTGGTCACCTGTGGAGGCAGGCGGAGCCGCATCCTTCGCAGCCTCCAGCCCGGGCGGTGGAGCCACTGATGGAACTGGAGGAAATATGGCCACGACGGAGCATGAGATTCGCAGAGGGGGCTGAGCAGTTGTTTGCAGGGGGCCGTCGCGCGGCGTCTAGCCCGGGCTAAGATGCGTGAGCCTCCCGACTCTGACAGGCCGTCGTGTGGCGGGGGCCGAGGGGCAGACGCATCTCCCTTTCCTAGACCACCAGCGTTGGATGTTCGCCAGTTGTATCTGAGGAATCCAGGGGCTTGGGGCCCAGCGGCCCACATCATCGGTGTTTCAGAGGTCCACGTTGTCCCGTCGGAATTTCAGGAGCTCCTGCATGACTGGCGCAAAGCTGGATGCACTGATGCTTTCTCGGCTTCGCATTCCCAGTGGGACACAGAGTGCCGCGGGGGAATCGCCGCGGGGTTTCTCGAGCGTTCCAAGGCACGTTCGTTTCGCCACTTCGCCCGCTCGCCGAACGATCAGGTGGGGCCCCGCGATCTCGATCAGGAAGGCGAGCTGCCAGGCGTCGGTTTTCGCGACGCGGTAGCCGTGCAGCTTCGAGCCCAGGGCCAATCACTGCTCACTGTTGGTGCATAGTTGGTTCCATCGGTGGGGGCCCGCGCTGACATGCCTAAATTGTCTTGCGCGGGCACTCCGGTCATTGCGGTTCAGGGCCCGCGGACTCCGATCGGCGACTGGAACGCGGCCCCCCAACGCGACTGGATCGGCGGGCATGTCTCGGTGCCGTCGAACAAACACTCTTTGCTCATGCGCGTTGGGCAGTGGCCGCGTCATCGGTTTCATGGCCATCGGGTCTCAGGCTCGACATCTCGCCCAGTTTATGGAGGCGGATTTCGATGCGATCGGAGAGGCGGGCAAAGCTCATCATGGGTTGAAGCTGCTTTAGACTTATCCCGCGGGGCGCGCCCCCGCCACGGCCAGGTGATTTCCGCGGGCCTTCGCTCGTCCTGAACGGCAGGAGAATCAAACGGGCCCCGGGGGCAAGCGTGCCAATGCGAAGGCGAAAAAGGCAGAGGTGCTTTGACGCGGCCAGCCTGGCCTCGAGTTCCAATTTCCCCCTCGCGATGACGGCTGCGCGACCGCGGCGGCCGTGGGCCCCGACCTCGCCCTATCCTTTCCGAGGCGCCAGCGGTCCGGGGCGCTCGGGGGGAGGGGGGGGGGCGGGGGGCCGCGATGGGCAGGGCAGGCGCGTCAGCCACCGTGCCGCTGCGCTAGCCCCCGCGAACCTCACGCCCGGGGAGCGCTCGGGGCGCGGGGCAGCGGGCGGATCGTCGTCGTCGGCGGCCCGCGGCAGCTCGTGGAGCTTCGTTCGCCCTGGTCTCTCGCCCCCCAGAGGCGCCGGTTGCCCGGGGCACTCTGAAAATGGGGGGTCGGAGGGCCGCGGCGGGCGGGGCAGCCGGGCTAGCCGCGGTGCCGCCGCATTCGCCCACGCAAACCTCGCGCCCGGCGAGCGGGGCGCGGCGGGGGGCGGAACGTCGTCTTCGGCGGCGAGGTCAAGGCCCGCGGCGAGGCAAGGGGGGCCCGCGCTTCGCGAGGGGGAAGCGGCGCCACCTTCTACGCCTTCGGTCTGGGGCCCCAAGAGGAAGTTCGCCATTGAGTCTCCCCCGTGCGCGGCGATAGGAGAGACGGCGTTCCAGTTGGACTTGGGCTGGGGGATCCGGAGACGAGCGCCCCGGATGAAAGCTGAGCCGCCGCTGGGCGCGCGCGCCCAGGGCTACGTCGACGCTCGCGCCAGCGCCCAACGAGAGCGGCGCGAGGAGGCAGAGGATAGGCCCCCGCAATCTCTCGCGCGGGGCCGCCCGTCTGCTCGCGAACCGTCTGCTTTGATGCAGCAGTCGCTTGCTTTTCGTGCTGCCCATTTAAATCGCCCTGTCTCGCCGACGCCATCGTTAGTTGGGCGGTCGCTTCGGAGTCGCGCTGGCCCGGGCTGCACTGCGCCCCCCCCCAAGAGCGGAAACGCTTTCGGGGGGGGCGCGTGCGCGGGGCCATTTGTTTTGAGGCAGGTTGGAGAAGCCAAGCCGCGGGCGGCGGTCAGCGATCCGAGTGCCACTTGAGCGACGGAATAAGAACTTGGCCGGCTGCGCCGACGTTGGCGCGCAAGCTGCCCGCTCGAGGTTGCGCGCGCGCTCTGGTCTCGAACGCGGCGCGCCGCGCTGGGGGCCCGCGCGGGCCGCCGCGCGCGGCCGGCGCGCCATCTCGCGCAAGGCCCGTCATTGATCGTCGTTCGCATGATTGTCCACCGCGGCAAACTTTAGTCTGAGCTGGCGCGCCTTCGCGCGGCTGGTGGTGGGGGGGTCTCGGGGGGCCGAGCGCATGCGCGCCCGTCTGTCTGACCTCGCGGGGCCCGCGCCCCAGTCCCAGATCGCCCCCCCCCCCCCCCTGCGCGGGCGCATTCGCTGGGTAAGATTTCTTCGAACCCTCCGTGGGTCATCGTAGGCGTCTCTGGTTCTCGGGGGCTGCCCTCGAAGCCTCCTGTCGTGCGCAGAGAACAATTGCCCGGCATGGGCAGTGTGCCTTCCGCGATTGGGTCGCGCAGCGCTCCGCGCAGGGCGCCGGCGCAATTCGCCGCCGCGCTCGCAGTCGGGCGGCAGGCCAGAGAGCTCGGGGCACAGGGGCAAACCATCATGGGCGCGGCTTCCATTGCGGGGGCCATGGTTTTTGTCTGGGCCAATCTTCGGGCCCCCAAGGGGTTCGACGGGGCTCGCGCTGCGGATGTTATGCAGGCCCCCCCCCTTCGCAGGGGCGGGCCAGGGGCGCGCTGTGCAGGGCATCTCCCTTCGTGGGGCCCAAGGCGCTGAAGCTGTTAACCATGGGGATGTCTGCGGGCTGTCCGCCGCCCAGCGTCGGGGTCTCCTGGCCCTCCCCGACGAGACCGAGAGGCCGGCGGCGTGGCCCTGGCAGTGGGCCGCGTCTCTCAGCGTCTCGTTCCGGGGGCCCGATGTTCGCGAGGGTCGGGCTCTCGGCCCGATCGCCTGGCTGGGGCGCCCGTGGGGCCGCGCGAGGCCTCGCCCGGTTGTAGCTCGGGTTCTAGGGCCGGGCCCCGGGGCGCCGCGGTTCGGGGGGGGCAGTGGGGGGCAGTGCCCATCTAGAGGCAGTGCCCAGACGTGCTGCAGACGAGGCCGCGCTGTCTTCTGCCTTGCCGGACATTTCGTTCTGCGACTATTCCACGGTGCCTCGAGGCGCTTTATGGCGCCATTCGCTGGGGCGACGTTGTGGCTCATGCGCTGTCCTTGGGCTTCCCTGCTCGCCCTCCCGCCTCGGGGATTTCGTTGCGCGCGGGGCCCCGTGTCGTCGAAGACGCGGGGCGTGGCCCCCCGTCCACCGCCCCCCATGGGGGGCCTCGCGGCGGGGGCTCAGTGGGCCCCGGATTTCTGCGAGCGCCGTGCGCTTCATATTTGCAAGCTTAATTGTCAGTGCCAGCGTTTTTTTCCTTGCGCGCGCGGGTCGATGATGTTGCTCAGCGCGCGGGAGGTTTGAGGCGATGCGTTCTTCGTGGGCTCTCTGCAGGCAGTGCGTTTGCATCAGCTCAAAGTCGCCTGCGCAACCTTCATGCTTGTTTTTGATATTTCGGTTGCGAAGGGCGTCCGGGAGGGCCTAAGTCTCCTCGGGGTTCAGGTGGCGGCGGCCTCGGAGGCCCGGGATGAGGGCCTTGGCCGAGGGCGCGGGTTCCTGGGTCCAATTCCAAGCCCAGGCTCGTCAAGTCAAGCCAGGCTTGTCGCCGCGCCGTTCGCATCGATGAGCTTGCCAAGGCCGCCCCTAGAAAGCTTGGCCCCAGGCTTGATTTGACGGGGGCGCTCCTGCAAGCGTCGCGCGCGCGAGGGGAGTCTGCGGTGTTGTTACCTTGGAGCTGCAGCAGTGGTGGGGGGGGGGCCGTTGCTGAGACCCTGGCGCGGTGAACGGCAGGCCGATGCCTCTCAACCTTGTTGGCTCTCGAGGTTCGGCATGAGGGTTGCGCGTTTTCCATTTTTTCAGCTTTTAGAATCCTGGCCTCAGATTGTTGCGTCCTTCCTGATTACTAGGTCGGTAGAATCCTGACCCCAGATTGTTGCGCGCTTTTGGATTACAAGGTCGGTAGGATGCGCGAGTGTTGGAGGGGTCGGCTGGAGCCCGCGTGGCCCCGGCGCTGGTGGCGCCGCATCTGAGGGCCAGCGTCCGCGGTCGTCGCCGCAATGCTGTCTTCGGGGCGGAAGCTCGAAGGGCGGTGGCGTTGAGGGGCTCCGGGTGGGGATGCCTCTGGCGTGCCCGATGAGTTCCGCTCCCAGGCTGTTATGATGCTGGGTTATACAAAGGAGGTCGCTGCCTCAATCGAGGCTGAGTTGCGGCCCTCAGCACCCCAGTTCATGAATAGTGCTGGTGGTGGGGGGGGGCGGACGCGGCCGCTGCTCGGCGCCATCTGTTTAAGGTCAAGCGCAACCCCCTCAAGGATGCAGGTTTGTTGCGCGCCGCCCTCGCGCGGGAGGCCTCGTCGCGCGCCGGGGCCCTCGGCGCTGGGCGGGGGCCGCGCGGCCCGGGCCTCGTCGAGCGCCTGCTGCGGATGCCAATCGCATCTTTGAGTGCCCTGCGCAGTCGGGTTTCCGGGGGATGTCCGAGGCCCCTGCGAGGGGCGGGGCCAGTGCTGCAACGGAGGTCCTTATTTTCTGGCTCCGCGGCCTCGCCCCCAAGTCTCCGGCCCGCGCGCCGCCCCTTCCCGGCGGCCCCATCGCCGAGGGGGGCTTCCCATCCTGAGGCGGCCTCCGTGTCTGGGGGGGTTCGCGGCGCAAGAGGCTCAGGGGGGGTTGAGCAGTCGCGGTTTTATAACGAAGCCTCCCCGCCCCCTCCCGGCGCCTCCTCCATCTCCGACTTGCAGCTCTGCCTTGTGGCGGGGGGTGGCATTTCGGGGGGGCAGTCGGTCGATCGCGGGGGGCTCTTGGCCCTCCGCGGGTTTCCCCGGGGCGCGTGGCCGATTCGCCCCGCGTGCAAATCGGGGTTTGCCAGGATTCAGGCTGGCCGCGTTTCTTCGAGTGTCCCGCCGGGACTTGCGGGAGAGAGTGGATTCCTTGGCCCAGGAGAGAGACCCGGCGGTTGCGCAGTTCCCGCCATCTTTCTGCCAATGGTGCTTTGCGCGGGATATCGTTCCACGATGCCTCCAGGCGGCTTCGAGTGCAGATCGCGTCGCGGGCCGCCATGCTACGGGCATCGAGGGTATCGGCCTCAGTGAAATGTGCCGACGCCATGACTGGGCGGTGTGAGAAACATTTCGTTTCTTTGTTGTCATGTCTGATGTAATCGAGAAGGGGGGCGCAGTCCTGCCGCGCCTCCTGCTGTCCGCGCGCGGGCGACCGTGGCGCTGGAGTTTGTTCGGGCGGCGGATGCGACGCGGCGCGCGCCCCATCCTGCGCGGTGATGTCGCGCAGTTCTCGTTCTGCGGTTGCGAGGTCGCTGCCCGCCAGGCGAGGCTATGTCTCGAGACTCCGTGCCATGTGATAGAGCGGGCGGGGGCCATCTCCAGGCCCACTGCCTCGGTTGGTGCCAGGTTGCTATCGACCCTGACCTCGACGTGCTCTAGAGCCGCTGCTGCGGCGCGGGCAGCAATTATCGCCTGGTGGATCTGGCCGAGCCGCCCGCCCCGCGGCGAACGCTTGGAACGTCGCTCGCAGGCCCGCAGCGGCTTCCGCCCCCCCGCCCCAGACCCGCCCTGCTGCGAGGTGAGCCGCGCCAGGTGGCGTAGGTGGTGGACCCTCGCGAGGTCCTGCGCGTTTGCCCGCTGCAGCTTTGGCCTGGGCCGCTCGCCTCGGCCCCGTTGCTCGAGCCTGTCGGTCATGAGCTGCTGGGGGGCGCTGCTTTCTGCTTGGGGTCTGGCGAGGGGCGGTTCTTATTCTGGGGCTCGGAATCGGACCCGAGCGGGCT